ATTGTGGTAAATTGTGGTCAATGTCATGAGACAAAGTGTATGTGAACTGCTGTATGGAAAGTGAATTTGCTCTGTAAATTTTTACCCAAATCACACTATAAAAAAAGAAAGAAAGAAAGAAAGAAAAATATCACAATCTGAAAATAGAAATAGCCTGAGTTTTCAAACAAAACTTACTGAAAAGAGAAGCATAAATATTTCTTGGTAGTATTTCAAGCTTCAAAGATAAAGAATGAATTCTACAAGTATTCCAGAAGAATATTGTATTTCCCAAAAGCATCATAAATTAGGTGTTTTATATAATGTTAAATGTCACAAGACAGTGGCACAAAACCTATAAGGAGCAATTTAAGGAAAAGTATGACTCCTAAATTTCCCGTATAACTCATCTTAAAAAGCAACTGAACATACTCAAATACGTAATACACTTACCTGAATATTCATTCAGTATAGTAGATGATATGCAAAATTGGCCAAAATGATCCTCTTTTCTCTGTTCAAACCTGTAAGTAGTCCCTTTCCATACTGACTTTGGGCTTGGCCATATGACTTATTTTGGCTGGTGGAACAATAGCAAATGTGAGGCAAGCAGAAACTTGAAAGTGTTTTCATACCAGGACTTGTCCTCTCTTATGCTTTTGTAAGTCTGAGACAAACATGGAAAGATACCTGCATTAGGTTGTTGCCTGTTGAAGGAGACTGCATCAACTGAGGGGCAACTGAGGCCTCCTAGGTAAGCCAACTGCTGGATACATGAATGTGTTCATCTTAAATGATCTACTTGTTGGCTGTCTTCTAAGAGACCTCAAATGCAAGACAGAACACCACCAAGCTGGCCCAAAATAGGAGAATCAACCAACTAACCTATAAAACCATAAGCTAAACAAAATGCTGTTTTAAGCAACTAAGTTTTGGGTGGTCTGTTAATATAGCAAAAGCTGAATAATGCATAAGAAAAGACCTGTGCCACCAAAATGGAGGAAGAAATTAAAAGATAAACATAGGTAAGATGGAGTCAGCTTATGCCATCCTATTTTTTCTAATGAATGCAACTGTAAATCCAGGACAGAAGACCTGGAGGATCTGTTGAGGACTCTGAAAAGTGGACAGTAGCAGGAAGATTGGAGAAGAGCAAAATTTAAAATAACACTGAATTGGCAGTACTAAGTCCCGTATTTATCCCTCCAGTCACCTCAGGGCACCTTGAAATCTGAAAATGCACAGAGGACACGAGCATAGAAAATTCCAGTAGGAGCTCTTTAGTTGTAGCAAGAGAGACAGCAGTGGGAGCCCACAGGCACCTAAAACTCTGAAAGAGGGCCACTTTCCTCCCCTGTCACAGAAGCTGTCATCCCTAGAACATGGAGTGAATACCCATTGTTTTATTTTTTTCTCTCTGTCTTGGTGCCATTTGGCCCCAAATGCAGGCACAGTCATGGGAACTGTACAGCACCCTGGAGTAACTACATTGTTTTTGTTAGGTGCTGGCGAGTTGGCTGCATCTCATGGTGACCCTATGTACAACAGAACAAAACACTGCCCAGTTCCTGTGACAGCCTCACAATTCTTGCTATTCCTGAGCCCATTGTTGCAGCTACTGTGTCAATACATCTTGTTAAGGGCCTTCCCCTTTTTCGCTGACCTTCCACTTTACCAAGCATGATATCCTTCTCCAGGCAGTGGTCCCTTCTGACAACATGACCAAAGTAAGTGAGAAGAAGTCTAGCCATTCTTGCCTCCAAGGAGCATTCTGGCTGTGCTTCTTCCAGGACAGATTTGTTAGTTCTTTTGGCAGTCTGTGGTACTTTCAGTATTCTTTGCCCACACCACAACTCAAAGGCATCAATTCTTCTCTGTTCTTCCTTGTTCATTGTCCAGCTCTGACATGCATATGAGGCAATTGAAAATATCATAGCTTGGGTTAGGCACACCTTAGTCATCACAGAGACATCTTTTGCAGCAGATTTGCCCAGTGCAATATGTCGTCTGATGTCTTATTGACTGCTGCTTCCATTGGTATTTATTGTGGAACAAAGTGATAAGAAATCTTTGACAAGTTCAATTGTTTCTCCATTTCTGTGATGCTGCCTGTTGGTAAGTTGTGAGGTTTTTTGTTTTTTTTATGTTGTGGTGTAATCCATACTGCAAACAGTAGTCGAATCTTCATCAGTAAGTTCTTCAAGTCATCCTCACTTTCAGCAAGCAAAGTTATGTCATCTGCATATCACGGACTGTTAATGATCCTTCCTCTAATCCTTAAGCCACATTCTTCTTCACATAGTGAAGCTTCTTGGATTATTTGCTCAGCATACAGATTGAATAAGTATGGTGAAAGGACACAACCCTGACACACTTCCTTCCTGATTTTAAATTATGAAGTATCCCCTTGTTCTGTCCAAATGACAGCTTCCTGGTCTATGCACAGGTTCTTCATGAGCACAATTAAATGTTCTTAGAATTCCCATTCTTCCCACGTTGTTGTTACTGTTAGGTGCTGTTGAGTCATCTCTAACTCGTAGTGACCCCATGCACAGCATAACAAAACACTGCCCAGTCCTGCACCAGCTCCACAATCCTTGCTATACTTGAGCCCATCGTCACAGCCACTGTGTCAATCCATCTCGTTGAGGGCCTTCCCCTCTTTCATCAACCTACCACCTTACAAACATGACATCTTTCTCCAGGAAATGGTCCCTTCTGACAACATGACCAAAGTAGGTGAGATGAAGTCTGGCCATTCTTGTTTCCAAGGAGCATTCCAGCTACACTTCCTCCAGGACAGATTTGTTAGATCGTTTAGCAGTCTGTGGCACTTTCAGCATTCTTTGCCAGCACCACGGCTCAAAAGCATCAACTTTTCTTTGGTCTTCCTTATTCATTGTCCAGCTCTCACAAACATATGTGGAGATTGAAAATACCATGGCTTGTGTCAGGCTCACCTTAGTCCTCAAGGAGACATCTTTGCTCCTCAGCACTTGAAAGAGGTTTTTGCAGCAAATGTGCCCAGTGCTATGCATCATCTGATGTCCTGACTGCTGCTTCCATTGGCATCAATTGTAGAACCAGGCAATGTGAAGTCTTGGACAACTTCAGTCTTTTCTCCATTCATTATGATGCTGCTTATTGGTCCCGTTGTGAGGGTTTTTGTTTATTTCTATTGAGTTGTAATCCATACTGCAGACTATATTCTTAATCTTCATCTGTAAGTGCTTCAAGTCATCCTCACTTTCAGTGAGCAAAGTTGTGTCATCAGCATATCGCAGGTTAATGATTCTTCCTCCAATCCTGCTGCCACGTTCTTCTTCATGTAGTCCAGCTTCTCAGATTATTTGCTCAGCATACAGATTGAAGAAGTATGGTGAAAGGATATAACCCTAACACACTCCCTTCTTGATTTTGAACCATGCGGTGTCCCCTTGTTCTTTCGAACGACAGCCTCCTGTTCTATGTACAGGTTCCTCATGAGTACAATTAAGGGTTCTGAAATTCCCATTCTTTTCAATGTTACCCATCATTTGTTATGATCCACACAATTGAATGCTTTTGCATGGTCAATAAAACACAGGTAAATATCTTTCTGGTATTCTTTGCTTTGAGCCAAGATCCATCTGACATCAACAATGATATCCCTCATTCCACACCCTCTTCTGAATCCAGCTTGCATCTCTGGAAGTTCTCTGTCAATATACTGCTATAACTATTTTTGAATTATCTTCAGTAAGATTTTACTTGCATGTGATATTACTGATACTGTTCAATAATTTCCACATTCTGTGGAATCACCTTTCGCTGGAATGGGTACAAATAGGAATCTCTTCCAGTCAGTTGGTGAGGTAGCTGTCTTCCAAATCTCTTGGCATAGCCAAGTGAGTGCCTCCAGCAGGGCATCCCATTGTTGAAACATCTCAGTGGGTATCCAGTTAATTCCTGGAGTCCTGCTCTTTGCCAATTCCTTCAGTGCAGCTTTTACTTCTTCCTTCAGTGCCATTGGCTCTTGATCATATGTCACCTCCTGAAATGGATAAAAATAGACCAGTTCTTTTTGGTACAGTGACTCTGTGTATTCCTTCCATCTTCTTTTGGTGCTTTCTGCCTCATTCAATATTTTGCCCATAGAATCTTTCAGTATTGCAACTCGAGGCTTAATTTTTTTCCTTAGTTCTTCCAGCTTGAGAAATGCTGAGCGTGTTCTTCCCTGTTCATTTGCTAACTCCAGGTCTTTGTACATTTCATCATAATAATTGACTATGTCTTCTTGAACTGCTCTTTGAAATCTTCTGTTTAGCTCTTTTATCTTGTCATTTCTCCCATTTGCTTTATGTACTCTCCAATCAAGAACAAGTTGCATCGTTTCTTCTGATATCCATTTTGGTTTTTTTGTTCCTTTTTTATCTTTTTAATGACCTCATGCTTTCTTCATGATTGATATTCTTGATGGCATCCCAATTTTCCTGGTTTTCTGTCATTGGTGTTCAAAGATATCTATTCTTTAGATGGTCTCAAAATTCAGGAGGGATATATTCTAGATCGTATTTTGGCTCTTGTGGACTTGTTTTAATTGTCTTCAACTTCAAGTTGAACTTGCATATGAGCAGTTGATGGTCTGTTCCACAGTTCCTGGCCTTGTTTTGGCTGAAGATACTGAGCTTCTCTATCGCCTCTTTCCACAGATTTAGTCAGTCTGATTCCTGTGTATTCCATCTGGCAAAGTCAACGTGTATAGCCATCATTTATGTTGTTGAAAAAAGGTATTTGCAATGAATATGTCATTGGTCTTGCAAAATTCTATCATGCAATCTCCAGAGTTATTTCTACCACCAAGGCAGTATTTTCCAACTATCAGTGATTCTTCTTTGTTTCCAACTTTTGCATTCCAGTCATCAGTGATAATCAATACATCTTGATTGTGTGTTTGGTCAACTTCAGACTGCAGAAGTTGATACAAATCTTCAGTTTCCTCATTTTTGGCTTTCGTAATTGGTGCATAAATTTGAATAATAGTTGTAGAAACTGGTCTTCCTTGTAGGTGTATGGACATTATCCTATCAGTGACAGCATTGTACTTCAGGATAGATTTGAAACATTCTTTGTGATGATAAATGCCACACCAATCCTCCAATTTGTCATTCCCGGCATAGTAAAGCATATGGTTGTCTGATTCAAAATGGCCAAAACCAGTCCATTTCAACTCACTAATGCCTAGGTTATCAATCTTTATGCATTCCATTTCATTTTTAACAACTTCCAATTTTCCTAGATTCATCCTTCATACATTCCATGTTCTGATTATTAATGGATGTTTGCAGCTGTTTCTTCTCATTTTGAGTCATGCCCCATAAGCAAGTGGAGGTCCCAAAAGCTTTACTCCATCCACATCATTAAAGTCAGCTCTCCTCTGAGAAGTCAACTCTTCCCTTAGTCATATGTTGAGTGTCTTCTCACCTGAGGGGCTCATCTTCTGGCACTGTATCAGACAATGTTTCAGGGCTATTCATCAAGTTTTCCAGTAATATATCAGGTAGTGTTTCACTGCTATTCATAAGGTTTTCACTGGCCAATTCTTTGAGAAATGAATGGCCCCTTACTTCTTCTGAGTCTGTCTTAATCTGGAAGCTCTGCTGAAACCTGTCCACCATGGGTGACCCTGCTGGTATTTGAAATACCAGTGGCATAGCCTACAGCCTCATAGCAACACACAAGCCACCACACTACGACAAACTATAACCCCAGATCTATGGTGAGAGGACTAAAATGTAGAGACTAAAGAACCAAAATGTACCAAGGAGATTGCAGAGAGGGAGGACAGTGGGAAAGCAATCTCATAAAGTTCTTTATGAATTCTTAGGCTTATCTTCAAGCTGCACATGCATGGAGCTCATCCTAAGTAATATACCTACCAAAGATTGAGGACTGAAATAAGAGATAGGCCTCTGACCAGCTTCCAAACGAACCACTGTGTGATACATATGAAGACAAGATCCAAATTGCAATGCAAAGGTGTTAAAAATAAAACTGAAATTGAAACCACAACCTATTGAAAATTGGTTAGAATTTGCATACTGAATCCAACCATGTTGATTACTTGCTAACACAAAAATATCAACATTCTCCATATGGCTCAAACAAGACCCAGAGTCTTATAGCGTAATATACACAATATCCAGGATACTATCCAAATTCTTTCAGCATACAGAGAACTGGGAAAATCTCAAGTTACATGGGTAAAGACAGTCAACAGATACTAATATAGAAATGACACAGATATTTGAATGTTCTGATGTAGACTTTTAAAACAACATTAGAAAAATGCCCTAAGAAATAAAGGCAGCAACTCTTGAGGACAATAGTAGAAAGTCTCTGCAATGGAATAAAAGATATAAAGAAAACAAAATGAAAAGTTAGAACTCAAAAATACCATAAATCAACTCACTGGATGGCCTGAATAGCATGGTAGAGATAATGGAGGAGAGAGCAAGTGAACTTGAAGATAGATTAATAGAAAGTATCCTGTCTGAAGAACAGAAAAATGAACAACACCTGAAGGACCTGTGGGGCAGTACCAAAAGGCCTAACATTTGTGACATTGGAGGTCAATGAAACAATAATTGGAAGAAAACTTCCTAAATTTGGTGAATGATATAAATTTACCTATTCAGTAACTCAAGCAAAATCCAACATGGATAAACCCAAAGAAATCTAAGCCCCGTCACATCACACTAAGAAAAGTTGCTGCCTTAAGAAAAGAACCAATGAGGAAAGAACATTACTTCCAAATGTTGAGACGACTGCTGCTGAGATCAACAAATTCTGAAGCCATATAAAAACACTATTCTGGTTGCAAGCCATCATAGTTCAGTTTCTATGTCAGCTTGGCTGGGCCTGGTTGAGTGGCTGGGCAGCTGGTGGTAGTTATTCCCCATGATGAGACTGGCAATCAGCTCCATGGTGGGAGCTACCACAAGCAGCTGAGTAGCTGCTTTGGGTATGTGGTCTGCTTCCTATAGATAAGAAGCAGCTTTGAGAATGGTCTCTAGCCTGTGGCACGCTTGGACCCTGCATGTAGCCATGTCATTGTTCAGCAGCATGTCATGTTCTGCCAACCTGGGGACTTACAATGGACTTAAATTAATGTCCTGCCGTGTGGTTTGGTAACATTGGGACTGTGCCTTTTTACTTGTCAATCTTGGGCTTCTGAGCCTCGGCAGCCAGCAGCTGTCTGAGTGAAGAAATGCCTCTAGCTCCAGTGGGCCAGGAGCAGGAGGCAGAGCTGGACCCCAAGGTTGAGGGGCTTTCACCCAGCCCCTAGAGCCTGGCACTTTGAAGTTGGACTTAAAGCCTCCAAACTATAAGAGAATAAACTCCTGTTTGTTAAGGCCATCCCATTTGTGGTATATTCCTGTCAGAGTGGCACTCAGTAACCAGAACACAAACCAAGGTTTCTTACCAGTTGAAGATCATGGCAGGGTTTGATTCTACATGGCAAGGTTCTGAATGATTTCCAGCAGCTGCAAGGAATGCCATGTTGGGGGATTGCACATATAACAAATATTTGAAATAAGAAAAACTTCTGACACTTTGGATTATAGCAGCCCAGAAATATGCAGTTGCAGAACATATATTGAATATGGCTGTCAGATTCATTTCAGTATCTTTGAAATATCAATCAAAGGAGGGAAAATATTTTCTCATTAGATAAGCATTTAAATAGAAACAAGCGATGTTTTTACCAACTACTTTGGGAAATCAGCCCAGAAGTGTATAAAAATAAAAACTTTTGACACTGTATGAGCTACTTAGATTGAGAAAAAAACAGTAACATTCAATAATTGGTAGTAAATAAATATATACACCATTTTCACTTTTTAAACTTTAAAAATTTCAAGTGATCATATATAGAACCATAATTGGCTAATGCACTGACATGAATAAACATGTCCATAAAAATTTCACCTCTTTGGCTCTAAAGGTAGAGATTTCAAGGGTCTACTAAAATAGTTCTCTTTTGTTATTTGGCAGGGTCTAATAATTCCACCAAACAATCATGACAAATCTATTATAGCTGCTGCTTTTCTTCCCTTTTTAGACTTTTTTAGAAACTTTAACTTTAGTTAAATCAGATTTTTATTTACCTTGATTTAAAATTTCATTTAAAATATATTTTCAAAATAGAATAGGAAATCTGTTTTATTATTACTGAATATAAACCTTTATTGATTGCCATTATATGGCAGACAAAAAGGTGGGCACTAAAGATGACAAAGAAGGAGCCCTGGTGGCACAGTGGTTAAACATGTTGCTGCTAACAGAGAGGCTAGCAGTTCAAACCCACTCAGTAGCTCCTTAGGAGAAAGACCTGGCAATCCGCTCCCATAAATACTACAGCCAGGACAACCCTATAAGGCAATTCATTTCTGTCATTTGGGGTCACTATGAGTCAGAATTAACTCAATGGCACCCAACAACAAGACCACAAAAGTGAGTGAGACACAAATCTTCAAGTGATACCCCAAAGGCGCTTACACTCTGCTTTAAAAAAAAAAAAACACTCATTGCTGTCAAGTCGATTCGACTCATAGCGACCCCTCCTTACCCTCTTTGGGTTGCCAAGGAGGTCTCTTTACAGAAGTAGTTGTTGTTATGTGCCATCAAGTCTGACTCAACCCATAGCAACCCCGCCTTGGGTTGCCGAGGCAGTATCACTACGAAAGTAGATTGCCCAACCTTCTTTCCGAGGAGTAGATTGCCCCATCTTCGTTCCAAGGAGTGGCTGGTGAGTTTGAACCTCCAGCCTTCTGGTTAGCAGTCAAATGCCTTAGGCACTATGCCACCAGAGTGTCCACATTCTAGTAAGGGAAATAAATATAGAGATAAAAATTATATTACAAATTAATAAATTCTGTGACTTAAGGACCATAAGAGTACAGAGGATTAAAACATTCTACCTACGTGAATAGGAGCTCTGGTAGCATAGTGGCTAAAGCACCTGACTG